GGGAGGATTATTGAAAGGAGGCAGAGGTGGTTTGGTAGCAGGGATATTAGGTAAGTTTGGCCTACCACAGAAATGAAAGTGAGAGCTCTCAGCCTGGTGCTCCAGCCATTTTTAGGAAAGCATGCTGTCTCTGTCTCCTTCCATTCCATGTCTTGACACATTTTCTTCCTCTCTATTTCCCTTTCCTCTCCCCCTCCCCCTCTTGTCCCTTTCCCCTACCCCCTGTCATCCTTCTCCCCTACCCTTTTCTCTCCCATTCTCCTACTCCCCCTTCCATTTCCACTCTCTTCCTCCCCCTTCCTTTCTTACTCTCCTCTTTTCCCTACCCCTTCTCCCCCTCTCCCTCCCTCTTAATCCACAAAGGCTATGGGTTGGAACATGACTAATGTGAAAATAGCTTTAATATGAATGTGTATGTAGAGCTTATATCAAATTGCATGCTGTCTTTGGGTGGGGGAGGGGAGCGATGGGGAGAAAATTTGGAACTCAAAATCTTATAGAAGTGAATGTTGAAAACTAAATTTAAATAAATATTTTTTTTAAAAAAAAGAATATTGATTGGACTAGATGTCTCTTGAGTCCCCTTCTGATCCTGAAATGTTCTAATTCTGAGGTCATCTTATCCACTCCCCTGCCCCAAACCTACTTCCAGACCTCCCTGTAAGGATGAAAATTATTTCCAATCTTACTCATGCTGAGTGCTTTTTTTTTTTTTAAGTGGGGAATGCTAGGGGGATCATAGAATCATAAATCTGGGGCTGGAAGGAACATCAGAGGTAATCAAATTGAACCCTTTACTTTTATAGATGAGGAAACAGAGGCACAGGGAAGTCAGTAATTTGCCAAGGTTACATAGGTAGTGAGCATCAGGGGCAGGATTGGAACCCAGGTCCTCTGATTGGATTTTTTCATGTGAAGGAAGGGACTTCTGTTTTGAGAGAGAAAGGGAGAAATGGGCCTGGAGCACTTGCTAAAGGGGCCAGTGGAGGGGAAGGAGAGCTAGAGGACAGAGCAAGAGTTGAATCAGTGTATAAAGACTATGGCCCCCACCCACCCACCCAGGCCGGGTAGCAACACCCACTCAGAATTGTTTAAAGGTCTCCCTGCCCCTTCCTGAGCCTTATCACTCCTCCTGTGTTGCCCCCTTTGCAGGTCATGTCAGATTCATAGATTATGAATATGCTGGCTACAACTACCAAGCCTTTGACATTGGCAATCACTTCAATGAGTTTGCAGGTAAGTGAGCAACCAACCAATGGAGAGTCTGTCAGAACCAGAACTAAGGGTGGGTAAGAAAGGTAGCCACCTAGGGTGTAGCACTAAATGGGGGGAGGGGGGCACACCATGAAGAACACTTTCTCGGTATGACTTTATAAACATTTTATGCCATAAAGCATATCTCCGTGGCATTTAGGTCTTTATTTTGTGCTAAATCAAGGTGCATTGTTACAGTGAAAGTTAAAAGCTTCCTGTAAACAATCTCACAGGGAGGGATGGAGATGCAAAAATGTCTTGGTCCAGAGCTTATTGCCCCATCATTTATCCTATGTCCAGAGTCCTTCTATGCAAAGCCCAACAATGCATACTTAGAGTCCTGGCCCCTCTCCCTCCCTACTCCGACAAGAGAGGCTCAATTCCTGTCCTCAAGGAGCTACCAGTACAATGGGGGACAGAGGACACTCATCCAGGGCACAGATAGAGAGAGAGAAACAATGAGCTGTAAGTTTTCAGTGGTGTACCAGAGTAAATTGTATCTGGTTTTTGGTCCAGCTGGTTAAGGAAGGCTTTCTGAAGGAGCAGACTGCTTGTTTCATATGTGTGTGTTGGGGGGAGGAGCGGTCTTTAAAGTGTGCCTCATCACTCACCATCTTGAGATAAGTCTACAGGCTACAGACCTGTCTCCAAGAATAAATCAAGTTCAGCCCCTGGGGACTTGGTCACTACAGTTGTCATTTGCCTCAGTTTGAGCCCTTGGTACCATAAGAGATCTTGAGCCTTAGGGAGCCGGGGCAGTGGAGAGCCTGTGCCAAAGGATGCCCTCAGGATGCCCCCTGTATGAGAGGTCCTACCCATCTGTGGACTTGGAGACTATGAGCTAAGTGTTTGTTTCACAAGTAAGGTATCATCTTGACATGCCTCTGGGCTTATCACTGAATGAGGACAGTCTACTACAGGTATTCGTGGATCTGGCTAGAATCTGCCCATTAGCTCTCCAGCTCCCCAGTGTTTGCAATGATGAGCCATGGAAATTGACTTCATTGCTCTAATAGTCTCACTATGCTTAATCAATCAACAAGCATTTATTAACCCCTTACTGTGTTCGAGGTAATGAGCACTGGGGACACACAAAAAAAGCAAAGGCAGGGGCAGGTAGGTGGTGCAGTGGATAGAGCACTGGCCCTGGATTCAGGAGGACCTGAGTTCAAATCCAGCCTCAGACACATAACACTTACTAGCTGTGTGACCCTGGGCAAGTCACTTAACCCCATTGCCTAGCCAAAAAAAAAAAAAAAGCAAAGACAGTCTCTGCCTTTAAGGAATGTACATTCTAATAGGAGAGACAACATGTAAATAACCAGACACATGCAAGACCTATACCTAGCAAGTGAAAGGTAATATGGGAGAGGACTTAGCCTATCTTATTTTTTTAATTTGAATTTTTTTTATTTTTTAACATCCCTTTTTCTTATATTTTGAGTTCCAAACTCTCTCCTTCCCTCCAGCCCCTCCCACACCCATTGAGAAGGCAAGCACTGTGATAACCATCATACGTCTTACCCTATCTTATGGCTGATACACTTCCATCTCCTTATTCTATTTCCCTGTTTCAAGAGAGATTCCTCTAGCTACCTCTCACCATACTCTCATCCTTATCCACTTCAGCCCTACCCCTCCACTAGCTATAATTCCCTTTGAACCTTCACTCTCAGGTTGCTAATAAACTCTTCTCCTTCTTCTTAGATCTCTTTGTGTCTTTACATCTATTGGTGGTCATGACCACTTGATGCTGCAAAAGGCCCTACATCCTTCTCCAGTAATAGGTGCCCGTTCCATCACATCGCTTAACATGGTGGGCCAAGAGGAAGAGGCAGCAGCATACTCCTTGCTACCACTTCCCAGTTGTCCCTTGGCCACTATTACTTAGCAGCCTCTCTTCCTTTAAGGTTCATTCCATTTGTCTCTATCATCCTATATCCAGGGCTAAATTGCAGTCATCTCCCTGCCCCATTCTCCCTCCAGTCAATCAATCAAGCAAGCAAGCTTTTATTAAGCACTCACTATTCCAGTGTTAGACCCTAGAGGTGCAAAGTCCCTGCTCTCAAGAAAGTTGCATTCCAGCAAGAGAGACCGTATACATGTGAGTGTGCACGCACGCACGCGCACGCACACACACACACACTCACATACACTCACCCCAAACCACATACTCTCCATTCTCAAGGAAATCAGTACTTGACTCAGTCTTCCTTTCCACTCTAATCCTTGCCCTTCCTGATATACAATATATATATATACAATATATATAATATTATAATATACAGTATATAACTTCAAATGTCCTGATTTTCTTGTTCATCAATTTACTTAACTCCTTTGACCTACATCTTCCTTTCACTTTATCTACTCCCTGAGATGGTCATATCTTGGATCTCACCATCACCCCAAACTATCCTACCTCCATGAAATTCCTCTGAAATTCCTGTTGCTGATTATAATCTCCTATCCTATCTCTCCTTCTGTCAAAGTTCTCCTAAACCTACCTTTCACTCTCATTTTGACCCCTAATCCCTCCACTCTCCCTCTTTCCCCATGCCACCATCCATCAATTCTGCCCTGGACTCACTTTGACCCCTTCATAGCCTCGACCTGAGTTGACCAGTTCAATTCATTATCCTCTACTTTTGAATCCTCCTTCCACCTCACTGCAAAACCATCCTATCAGCCATCATGCCTTGACAAATACACAATTTCTCCTCTCCTCTCTCTTGGCAGAGGACATCACCATCTGCCATAAGCTCCAGCTTTCCCCTACCTTCCCTGTATAGCATGCCCCATTCTCTCCTCCTTTGCCTCAGTCACTGAAGAAGAGATGTCCTTTCTCTTTTCCAAGACCAACTCCTTTATTCTTCTTGTCAGTGCCATCTTCTCTCTCCTGTTTCCTCCTGGAACTTCTACCTCTTCAGTCATCTCCTTTCTTTCTGTTATCTTCCATCTATCCTTATTGACTGCCTCCTTCCATGCCAGCCACATGCATGCCCAGGTCTGTGCCATCTCCCCGAATAAATTCCCCATAATAACATACCTGACAATGGCTCCTTTAGCCTCTGCTTTAAGACTCTCAATGATGGGAAACCCACTGCCTCCAAAGTCAGCCCATGGTAATTTTTGGACAGCTCTGTTGGGAGTTTTTTCCTGACATCAAACCTAAATTTCTCCCTTTGGAGCTCCTTCGTGTTGCTCCTGGTTTTGCCTTTTAGGGCCACGCAGAACAACCTTAATCCCTCTTTCATGTAACAGTCTTTCGAATATTCAGAAACTATTATATGTCCTGCCTTTTTACCACCCCCCAACCCCCAGTCATCTCTTCTCCAGATGAAACATCCTTAGTTCTTTCAACCAATCTACAAATGATAAGGATTCAAGACCTTTCATCATCCTCATTACCCTATTCAAGACACTCTTCATTTTATCAATGTCCAGCTTAAACTGAAACACCCAGAGTTGAATATAATAAGGGGAAAAGGAGGGAACAAGAATTTACATGGTGCCAATACTGGGCTAAGCATTTTTTAAAACAAATGTCTCGTTTGATCTTCACAACAGCCCTGTGAGGTAGGTACTATTACTTTCCCCACTTTATAGTTGAGAAAATGGAGGCAAATAGAGGTTTAGTGGCTTGCTCAGGGCCACACACATGTCTGAGGCTGGATTTGAATTCAGATCTTCCTGATTTCAGACCTAGAGCTCTACCCACCATGCTACCAGCTTCTCCATATAATAAGCCAGGTTTGATCTAAGTAAGATGTACAAAACGACTATCACCTCCATGTTCCTAAAAATTATGCTTCTCCTGATACAGCCCAAGATCACACTAGTTGCTTTTTTTTTTTACTTCCACACCACACTGCTGACTCGTTGAAGTTGAGGTCCACCAGATCCCCAGATTTTTGAAAAACAAACTGCTATGTCTTCTCTAGCCTTTATTTAGGAAGTTGATTTCTTGAACCCCAGTGTAATTTTTTTTTTTACTTATCTGTATTGACTTCCATCTTGTAAGAGTCAGCCCAATGAACTATCCTGACAAGATCTTTTGAATTCTGACTCTGTCATCTAGTGTTAACTATCCCTTCTGGCTTTTTATCATTTGCAAAGGACTATACCATATATGTCATTTTCCAAGTTATTTTGAAATAGCACAGGGTCAAGCACAAATTCCTGGCTCACTCTATTACAGACCTCCTACCAAGCTGACCTGTTCAGTTGTTTTGAGTCCTGTCCAACTCTTCATGGCCCAGTTTGGGGTTTTCTTGGTAAAGATACTATAGTGGTTTGCCATTACCATCTCCTGCTCATTTTGCAGATGAGGAAACTGAGGCAAACGGGTAAGTGACTTGCCCAGGGTCACATAGCTAGTAAGTGTATGAGGTTGGATTTGAATTCAGGTCTTTCGGACTCCAGGCCCAGTGCCACTGTGCCACCTAGCTGCATTAATGATATCTCTTGAGTAGTCATTCAACCAATTCAGCATCTGTCTGCCTGTGTTATCTCCTAACTCTTCATCTTTTCCATAAGAATAGTATGAGATTCTTCATCAGACAATTTTTTAAAAATTAAGCAAACTCTAGCTTCAGCATTCTCTAATCTACCAGCTTAGTGGCCCTGTGAAAAAAAAAGAAAATGAGATCAATCAATCAACAAACATTTATTATGCCCCTACGATGTGCCAGGCATTGTGCCAAGTGTTGGCTGAGCCTGACATGATGGTTTGCTCAGAATCTGTGCCAGTCCTTTGTAATTACGACTTCCTTTCTAGACAGTCCCTTACCATCTCTTTAATGATCCATTCTACAAGGTCCCTGAGAATCAAAGCCATGCTCAGTGGCCAGCAGTGGGCCTACTCCTCTCTTCTGTTCTCCACTGTTTTCCAGATATTACTAGTAGTGACTCAGCCATCACAGTCACCACTGCTTTCAAGTACCCGAGGATAGAGTTCACTTGGGCCAGGTGGCTAGAAT